GTGCCAGAGGCACGAACGTGAGCAAGGCAGCCCCAGACGTGGAACGCAGACGCGTCACCGGGGGACCCGGTCCAAAGGAGGGTCGGCGAAACCTGCGGCCGCTGGGAGCGTGGCCACAGGTTAAGCTGGTGAGCCGCGTAGCGAACAGCGAACGGCCACAGAAAATGGGGGGCATCGGCATGGATCATGGAGGTACGGGCGACCTCCATGACCAAGCCGATGCGGCGCTCAGCAACCCCATTCTGCTGTGGCGAGTCCGGCAACGTGTACGACTGGGTGATGCCCTCCGCACGACAGAACTGTCCAAGCCGACCAGAGGCGAACTCGCCGCCACGGTCGGAGTGGAGACACAACACGGGGAGACCGCGGTGGAGACGCGCAGCTACAACCCACGGGAGAAGAACGTCGGGCACGTCGGCCTTCCGCTCCAGGGGAAACACCGTGGTGTAGCGCGTGTAGTCGTCAACGAGCACAAGGAAGTAGCGCTCACCGCGCGGTCCGGGGACGGGGGCAGGGCCCCAAACGTCCAAGTGCAGGGTCTGAAGGGGGGCAGTAGCAGGACGCAGCGAGGAGGAGTGAGGAGCACGGCGGAGCCGACCCTCGACGCAAGGCGTGCACGGTGGCGCAGTCGAGGGAGGAAGGGCAGGGAGCGACGCGGGGAGACCTAAGACAAGACCGTGCTGGGACATGTGACGCAGACGCGGGAGAGCAGGGTGACCTAAGCGGTGGTGCCAGAGAAGGGAGGGGTGAGTGAGGGACCGACACGAGCAAGCTGCAGCGACCTGGGAGGACGCACCAACCGGGGGGGAAGCGGTGTGTAGGGTAAACAGACCGGACACCGGGTCCCGGGGGAACGTCGCAAGGGGGGAACCTGAGACAGCCTCAGAACAGACAGCGAACCGCTCGTGCCCGGGGAACGTGGTGGTGACGCCGAGGTCCTGGAGACAGCCGACACCAACCAGGTTCCTGGAGAACGAGGGAACGTGGAGGCCAGTAAGGGAGCCCGAGGGAACTGCCGGACAGGGAAGGGACGTAGAACTGCGCGCGACGACCGGACCCGCAGAGGGGTCAGCGAGAGAGACAACAGCAGGTGCAGCAAGCGGCGTGAGCGTGGAACGGTCGCGGAAGAAGCAGGCAGAAGCACCAGAGTCGAGAGTGAAGGACAGCGACGCAGTGGCGGAGGCCGCGGACGGAGCCGGTGCAGCGACTAGACTAGGCAACCTAGGCAGTCCTACGCCTGTCGCAGCAGGGGAAGCTAAGCTACACAAGGGTGAAACACCTAAACTAGAGTACACATGGTAGTAAGATCCATCAACACTAGAAGCGTCAGCATACAAAGCATGCAAAGCAGCACCTATCTGATCCATGTCTAACTCAAAGATCGGCACGCCCTGGCGGAGCAGGCTGTGCCAGTCAGGGAGGTCCGGGGCTGGGCCAAAGCGACGACGAAAAAGATCGTCGAGGCGGCGGAAACAGTGGGCGGTCGGGTGCGGGCGGCGGCACAGAGTGCCGCGGAGAGGCCCGGTCTGAAGCTGGTACTGGCAGGTCACAGCACTGGAGCCGCTGGTAGACGCCAAGCTGCGCGGGCCGCCACCACGGCCACCGCCTCCGGAGGTGCCGGGCCAACCAGGCGGGAGACGAGCCCACGGCTGCGGCGGGTGCTGCTGGGACGGCGGCTGCGGCTGGGGCTGGTCCTGCTGCTGCTGGGACTGCTGCTCCTGCCCACCGGTGGTAGTCCCCTCAGGCGGACTACCGTCACCACCACCACGACCACTACCACCTGCGTCACCACCCCTACCTCCCTGGCGGCCACGGCCACCGCGACGCGAGCGCTGCTGCGGGTGGACAGCAGCAGCCGTCTCGGTAAGAGGGGTCGCCGTGGCGACCGCAGCCGAAACGTCAGTGAACGTGCACGGGGATGGGGCACAACCGTGAAAGATAGAGACTGCCGGCGCACCGCTCGACTGAGCGATAGTGCGCTGGCGAGTCTCGATCTCAGTGAGGGTGTCGACAAAGGCGGTCAGGGTGAGGTCACCCGGGTGCTGGCTAAGAAAGTGGTCGCGAGCACTAGCGAGGCGGTCTGGCAGGCGCATAGCGATAAAATAGAGCGTCATGCAGAAAGGAGGGGGGAGCGCAGTGAGCTGGGCAGCAGTGCTGGCAGTGCGATAGCGAGTCTCTAGGGCACGCAAATGAGTGGCAAAATCTGCGACAGTAGGGAAGGCAGCCAGGTCTGGGAACAGCATCGGAAAGAGCAAGCGGCCAGCAGAAGCGGAGGCAGGGGTGGAATAGCGAGCAATAACGGCTTCTAAATAAGCTTTGGCCGTTTCAACAGTAGCAAAACGCGAGCGCTCAGACACAGGGAGGGCGTGACTAATAGCAACCTGAGCTACTGCATCGCGTGAGTCCGAGACCGCACAGGCTAGCGCAGCAGTAGAGAAAGCCTCACGGTCATCAGAGGAGGGGTCAGCAGGGAGGGGAGTAGGTGCAGGGGGACGGGGGAGCAAGCCATCAGCATGGACAACCAGAGAGTGGCCATCCTGGCGCTGACCTGTAAGCTGGCGGCGAAGATCGGAGAGCCAGGCGGCGAAGTCAAGTGCGTGGCCCTCAGCGTCCAGGCGGAGCACAAAGTCAGCCATCGTGCAGGGTCAGCGGCACAGCTCCTCAGCGACACAGCGGCACAGCAGCACAGCTCCTCAGCGGCACAGGAGCACAGCGGCGCGGGGACACGGCGGCAGCACTCTCCAGTAGGGCAGCAGCTAGGCGTCCCAGCGCAGGCAAGCAGAAGACACAGGGCCCGAGAGGACACGGCAGGCCGAGCAGGGGAGGCGGGCAGGTGCTCTAGGGCCGGGCTGGTGCTGGGAGGGGCCAGGCTGGTGCTGCTGGGGCCGGTCGGGCACGAGGAGGGGCCGGGCAGCGCTGAGGAGAGGCCGGGCGGCGCTAGGAAGGGGCCGGGCGGCACTAGGAGGAGGCCGGGCGGCACTAGGAGGAGGCCGGGCGGCACTAGGAGGAGGCCGAGCGGCACTAGGAGGAGGCCAGGCGGGCGAGCGCTAACAGCAGGCGCGACAGGGGCCAGCGGGCGCGACGGGGCCTAAGGGGCGCGACGGGGCCCAGCGGGCACGACGGGGCCCAGGGGGGCGCGACGGGGCCGAGGAGGCGCGACGGGGACCAGCGGGCACGACGGGGCCCAGGGGGGCCACGACGGGGCCTAACGGGCGCGACGGGGCCCAGGGGGGGCGCGACGGGGCCTAGCAGGCGCGACGGGGCCTAGGAAGCGCGAAGGGGCCCAGCGGGCGCGACGGGGCCTAGGAGGGGCGCGACGGGGCCGAACGGGCGCGACGGGGCCCAGAGGGGGGGGACGCGACGGGGCTTAGGAGGCGCGACGATGCCTAGGAGGCACGACGGGGCTCAGCGGGCTCGACGGGGCCCATGGGGGGCGCGACGGGGCCTAGGAGGCGCAACGGGGCCCAGCGGGGGCGCGTTAGGGCCTAGGGGTCGCGACGGGACCCAGTGGGCGCGACGGGGCCCAGGGGGAGCGCGACGGGGCCTAGGAGGCGCGACGGGGCCCAGCGGGCACGACGGGGCCCAGGGGGGGCGCGACGGGGCCTAACGAGCGCGACGGGGCCCAGGGGGGGCGCGACGGGGCCTAGGGGGCGCGACGGGGCCTAGGAGGCGCGACGGGCGGAAGCGGTAGGCGGGGGGATCCTAACCTAAGCGTGATACCATGTTAACGTAGAAACGAATGATTACTAGAGGTGGAAACCTAGAACAAATACTAGTTGGTTGTACTCACTAGAAGCATACCTCAGTCTAGCCTATAACTTCTACATAGATAATATGTATAAGTTGACACATCGGGCATAGGGTTAGTGCTAGGAGGACGCAGGCCAGTGGTCCTTACTGGGCACACAGACGCTTCTTGGGCAGACGACACTGAGACGCTCAGGTCGTCGCAGGGCTACTGTTTTAGCCTTGGTTCGGGTGCTATCTCTTGGAGATCCACTCGCTCGTCGTCTGTGGCTCAGTCTAGCTGTGATGCTGAGATCTAAGCTGGTGCCATGGCGGCACAGGAGCTCCGCTGGCTGACCTTCTTGCTCACAGTCTTAGGTGAGCGGCCTAGCTCTGCCCCGGTCCTGTACGCTGACAACAAGGCCATGATACTCCTGTGTCAGGAGCCTCGGCTTGAGGGAAGAGCGAAGCATATCCATCTGCGGTATTTCCTCCTACGCGAGCTACAGCAGCGCCGCCAGGCCCGCGTAGTTCACTTGGCCTCAGGTGCCAACACAGCTGATATCTTTACTAAGGCGCTTGCGCCTAAAGATCATCAGCGGCACTGTGTACAGCTTGGTCTTGTTTAGGATCATGATTGTGTACTCTCTATTATATATGCCTGTCAGACTGGCCTTGTGGCCTTACCTCCAGTGGCTGGACTAGTAGTGCCGCCCTGGCTTGCTTTATTTTTGTTTGTATTCTTGCTGACTGGTCTCCAGACCCCTGCCTCAGTGGTTGGACTAGTAGTGCCACCCTGAGCTGTTTGCTTCTTGCTTAGCTTCACCCATTGTCTAGCCTAGGAAGTGTGTCAAGTTATACATATTAGCTATGTAGAAGTTATAAGCTAGACTGAGGTATGCTTCTAGTGAGTACAACCAACTAGTATTTGTTCTAGGTTTCCACTTCTAGTCAATTATTCAGTTCTTACTTTAACACTCAAATCATGCCAGAGGCTGTTTTCATAAGCACCCAGACCAATCACATTGTTTTCGGGCAAGGGAAAGAATAGCCCAGAGGGAACCTGGTTATCATTGGGGATGCATCAAGCCTTAACTCGTCTCGGGCAGCAGAGAGAAACGATGTGATTGGCGATGATTGGAGCTCCTGGTGATTCCTGATAACTTTTATGCTTTGGAATCCTCGATATGAATGGTTCTTTACCCACAAGACTAGCATTTCCTTCAATATGTCACCCCAGATACATAGAGCTCATGCACACATACATTTACACAAAACCCCAGTGTCTTGTATTCATGGGCCAAAGACAACAAAAAATGGAGATTGTACTTTCCATATGTAAATAAGACGTATACCATCAATTGATTCTCTCCGTCCCTGTGAGCTGCTGCAGCTGAGCAGCTTTCAAAAAATCCTGAGAGACTGCTTTGGCAGATCTCCTAAATCCGAAACCTTTGCCGCAACGCTGATCAGCAATGCTTCTATGGCTGCGAGCAAAGCTGCTGCTTGAGCTTGAAGTAACGGATGCACTGCTACACGCAGTGATGAAACTTGAGCTGCTGCTGATGTTTTTTAACTCTCCAGCACGTGCAGACGAGTCCAAGTCTCTGCAAGCGCAAAATTCGGCCGAAATTGACGGTCCCAAGTCGCACGCTCCTTCCTCGGCATGCCTGAAGTCATTTTCCGTCATTGCCGAGCAGATCGCGTCTAAATCCATCGGTAATTGACCGGAAGATGAATATGAACTGGCGTAATGCGCAGGGGGGAGGTCCACGCAATTGGTTGGAACGATCTGGTAAGTGCCGCCTGGCTTGAGCACGCGTTTCGGTGACAACGGCTCGAATCCGCCTGAAGGAGACGCCGCGAAGAGATCATGGTCGGGAAATTCGGCGAGGACTCGGCGCGCTGTGACGCGGTCCGTCTCGGAATCGTAGAGTCGCACGGAGCCGTCTGGGAGCATGACAGCGATGGGGTCGAATAATTCGCCGCTGGAGCTCCAGCCGTACATCTCAAAATTCCAGGATCAGAAATACGGAGTAGGTATACAGTAGGTATGGCATAGGTACGTCTGCTACGGAGTAGCCTTGCTATACGAACAACTATACCTACAATATAGGAGAGATCCACATTTTTGTGATGTAGGCAGGGGTTGGAGCCATTTCAGAGAGAGTCGGATAAAACGCACAAGGGGGAGGGTGACTCGGCTAGCTGGGAAAGCTGGGATCCAGCAGTGCTGACAGGAATGAGCGCTGGAGAAATTCGGAGGCTTGGAAACTAAATCAGAAATTTGAGAGAAGTTAGAGTTCATCGGAAGTGAAATGAAGTGAGCTTTGTATTTGATCGGAAAGGATGGGAAGAGCAGCTGGTGCTTGGTGGGTCCCAGCCCAGCCCAGCCCAGGAGGGCTTACGCTAGTCCCTATAGAGTTTCGGAAGGTCCCGACCCGAGATGGGGTCCAGAATTACCCAGATTTTTCCAGATCCCAAGGAATTTTCACCCTGAATCCTTCCGATTTCTCGACATAGCAACCATGCCAAAGGTCGTGAACTCATCTCCTCTGATGCGTGCAGAGAACATGGCTAGGCTGATTGGCTAAGTCCGGAAATCGTCCAAGTACTTTTGGTGATTCGTGACGTGAGAATCTTCGTCACCACGCAGTGGAATGGAAGTTCTCCTCACAGAGCTCCATGCTACGAGATGTTCGTCAGGATTCATGAAAATAGATCAGGATTTCAAAGACAAGTCAGTCGGAAACATTCAGAGTTTCGGCAAATCCCAACCTGTGCAATCCGGGATCGGGGTTTGAACAACTTTTAATTTATCGAAATTTAGGGTAGCTACCCTTCTAGCGTAAGCTCTACAGCCCAGCCCAGCCTGGCTGGCGTACGGAGTGGTCCAACTTGCCCGCAATCAACGGCGTTCTCAGCCTCGTCACTAGGGAGAAGCAACGCAAGAATCTTCGACATCACACACGCACTGCTGGAAAAGCGTCCTTGCTGCAGGTTAGCCACATGGGCAAAAGAAACGAGTTTCCTTCCGGACAAAAGCGCTGTTGGTCCCTATCCTAGATTCCTTGCAGCAATGTTGATAACTCGGCTAGGGCAGAAGAAAGGACAGCAGTGATGGGGGGAGTTGAAGGAGGTGGACGGAAGTGGCTTGATGTGGCCCCTGCCAGATTTCCCGCGGCAATTGGATACAGAAGCAAAGAGGCCACAATCAAGCGCAGATCGAATATCCGCTGGTGGGGGATCCTCCGCGCCATTTCCGCAATCAAACGAGAAGTAGCGGTGGGGTGGGCCCAGCCACAAGGACGAACGAACGATTCCCTTGGCTATGCAGTGCAGTGCAGTGCAGTGCAGTGCAATCAGGTCATTCGATTCGATGGCCCTAGGAGTCGCCCTGAAGAATCGGAGTTCACCCTGAGTCTAATTCGTCCAAGCTGGGTAACCCTGAATTTTTTGTTTGTTTTTTGCAGGCCAGAGTATAGACCAGCTCGGAATGTGCCACTCCGAGTTGTTTCTGCTAGGGGAGAGTGCCATAAAATATTACAGGGCGGCTCTACCCCTCTATAAAATACTGGCCGTGGGATTAATCTGGGCTGTGTCCACGGACTGGTATCGATATCTAAATGCGTCAAAAGCATGGCTGGACCGAAATTTCACCCTGTTTCCTTGACAAATCAGGGTACTTTCCCTGACTTCCACAGGCCTGAGTGTATGCATTGTGCCTGGTGATGGACAATGGGCGCGGATCCCCACTGTAGGTCTTCCTCGCTACACTACACTCATGTAGAGGTGTACCCGGAGAGACCAATTGTCGCGGGCTCAGTTTCATATATCACGATAAAAGACGGAAGTCATACGAAGGTCCCACCGAGAATTGAACTCGGGCATTCAGATTCAGAGTCTGACATCATAACCGCTAGATCATGGGACCACGTGACGGCGATATCATAAAAAGTTTTAAAACATAACTTTATAACTGTCCCACACCACATTTAGCTGTTTTTCTTCTCACATGGCGACGACGAACGTTTCTCCCGTGTTTAGGGCTGTTATCGCCGAATGGTGTCGTCGTGAAGCCCAAGGTCGACGCCATGGACTCGTGACATCCCAACGCGACCTACTCGTTGGCAGATCGCGACGCCATTCTCATCGGGGAACCTCGTCAGAAGCGATTTATCTAGACTCATATGAGCCGCAACCCAGAAATGTAGTCGCGAGACTAGACCGAAGAGGCGAAAAGTCAAACTCCCACTTCATAGCTTGCCAGGATATCGCGAGACATGGCACCGCGTTAGGGTATGGGCCCCGCTTTAGGACACGGAGCGGCCAACATGGGGAATTTGGGAGGAGGAGGCGAGGGGTGCGAGCCGCCGGCAGCAATCGTGGCAGCGGAGGTGGGGAAGAAGACGCTGACGTCAGCGAAGAGTCGGATGTGAGTGACTAGTTCTGACTTCTTCCCCTTTCCTGTCCTTTTGCTTCTCCTCTCCTCCCCCTTACTTTCTACCATTTACTCCATGCCAGGATTCCAGCAAGGTTGGATTGGATCGCACTTGCCTGCCTCTCATCTCCCTTCCTCTTCAATTCCCCCTCCACGTCCCCTCTTCGCTCTCTTCCTTCTCTCCCCTCTCCCCCCCCTCCCCCGCTCCCACCACTCTTCCCCCGCCCATCTCAACCACGCACCACCACTCTGCGCCAGCCCGAGGCCGTGGCTCTGACGATGAGTCGGCTGGAGAGGGAGCTGGATGCAGCGGTGCAGGCGGAGGACTATGCTGCTGCTGCTGCGCTCAGAGATAGGCTCCGGTGAGATGGGCTCCAGTGAGATGGGCTCCGGTGAGATGGGCTCCGGTGAGATAGGCTCAGCAGCAAACGTGTGAGAAAAGGTGCAGCTGGGATAGGCTCAGGTGAGGCCAACAGGAATCCATTTTTGAGCCACCTCAGAAGTCATCTCACGGGGTAGGCGGTGGACTATGCTGCTGCTGCTCCTGCGCTCAGGGGTAGGCTCAGGTCAGGTGAGGCCAACAGCAAACCAGGTGGGGAAGGTGCATCTGGGATAGGCTCAGGTGATCTATCCATGCAGCTGCGCTCAGAGATAGGCTCAGCAGCAGTCCAGGTGAAGCAATAGCAGCCGTTCTGACAGGTGGCTGAAGTGCTGCTGCTAGGCAGGTCAGATCACGCAGAAGCAACAGAGCCCCTGGTGCAAATCGGGTGCAGCTGTTAATCCTCTTCAACCCTCCCCTGTCGTCGCCCAACCGTTCCCTGTCGGCCAATCCTCCCTTGTTGCCCCCCTCCCGTCCTGCATTCTCCCATCTCATTTCCCCTGCACCAGGCGCCTGCAGTCGGACAACGAGGCGGCAGTGATTGCGGCCAACGTGCTCTTCTACCGCGCCTTTGGCTCCGCTGACCTCAGGCTCATGCGCCGCGTGTGGGCGAGAGGGGAGCACGTGCAGTGCATACACCCTGGTGCGAACACCATCTCTGGATATGACATGGTGAGAGATGGAGTGGGTTGAAGCAGGTGTGCATTGTGGCTCGTATAGTGGCTGTGGACAAGCCAATGAACTGCTCTCTTTCCAGCTTTACATCGCCCCCCTTCATATCGTTTTTTCTTCAGCTTTCTGGTCCGTTTCCCCTCTGCTTCCTCTGCAGGTTCTCAACAGCTGGGAGCTGATATTTGACGGCATGAACCGCCAGCTCAGCATCACGCTGGATGACGTGGCATGCCACGTGCGCGGCAGTATGGCAGTGGTGACGTGCGTCGAGATCATCAAATCAGCAGGCTCTGCTGGCAGGTGGGTGTGGCATGTGGGTTGTGAGTCGGCTGGGAGTCAGCTCAAGATGCTTGCATGGGCTCATGATGATGTGTAGACTCCCGTGCCCCTTCCTCCTCCTGCTCTCCCTCCTCACAGGGTGGTGGCCACGAACGTGTTTGAGAAGGTGGGCAGCCAATGGCTCTTGTGCTGCCACCAGGGGGCTCCAGCTCCACAACCAGGGAGGAGGATGGGATTGTAGCCTGCAAAACGGAATTATCGTAGCCCATCACACTGTATGGCTGCAGCCCGCATAGAGATTTGCACCTTCACTGTCGTTTGCCAGAGACATGCATATGCCTTAAAAAACTCACACGTGACTCGTGAACATGACACCTGGAGTGGACACTCACGATGCCTGCCATCATGCTAGGGTAGTGAACATTCAGCTGGGGAAATCTTCAAGCAATGCAGCATCAACCGGCACATGTTCTAGGGCTCAATGTTGATTTGCAGTGGGCAGGGCATCTTTCTGCACGTCTTGTTGCAAAAACGGAAGACCTGCCAAAACCACAAGCATCTGCCCACTGAAGCTAAGTTGTGCCCTCTTTACACATACATGCAGCCCCATATCTGAGGAACAGTCAAGTCAAAAGTCAGCAATCAGACTGGTAAGTACATCAGCAAACAATGGCTATTGCAACAGAATGTTCCCAGCAGTCTCCAGCTTCAGTCAGTAGTGACGAGTAAGCCCGCGTTCGCTGTATGCACTTCCATGCAGCTCCATACCCTGAATTTGCCTGTGAGGGGTCGAATTTATGGATGTGCCTGCAGTAGCTGTTCCTGCCCTGATCGCATCGCCTCACCAGAAACAGGTCCCCATTAAGTGCCACACATGCATAACCCCTCTGCTGGTAACCAGAACATGCTGGATGCCGGCACATTAGCCGGTGCTCGGCGCCTCTGATTGGCCGAAGGGAAGGTGGAGAGAGAGGTGGAGGAGTCAACGGACGGGGAGAGGAATAGGCATCCGACATGTAAAGATCAATGGTAGAGTCAAACTGGAACCTCCTCTGACCCTGCCTCCACAGCTTCCACTCATCCGTCTCAGAATCATACACGAGAGGGTAATTGAAACACACCCATCTTCCTGAAACATCTCCCCATCCCCTCCCTCCGGCCACGCCGCCTCTTGTTGCTTGCTGCTCATCAGGCTCGGATGGAGCGCCTCCGATCACACAGAGCCTGTTGTGAAGCACAGTGGTCTGGAATCCGGTTCGGGGAACAGGCAGACTAGCAGCTTCCCTCCACTCCAAGCATATACTGTGTTGAGTCTGTCGGGTGTTAAGGATAGAACCGCTGATGGCGGTGCTTTGACTGCGACTGCTGCTGGATGTTACAATTGAGCTGCTGCTGCTAGTGCTGCTGGTGCTGCTACTGATAACCGGAATCTCGCACACGAACAGCGTGTAGTTAGGTTCAGTGTCCTCTAATGGGGATGAACAACCCCCAAGAACGTAGAGCCGGTTCCCAATGACCTGAGCATGGGCTCCCTGTCTGGGTTCTGGCAGACTTGATGCTTGGAGCCAGCAGCCTCGTTTTAAGTCAAACACCTCGATGGAGGAAAGCACCTCATACGCGTTAGTAACACCTCCGATAACGAAAACCGCGTCAGAAGAGGCGCAACACGCGAATCTGCTCCGCGGAGTTCGGAGGGGAGGAAGCGACGCTGATTGGTTGGTCAGCGGGTTATAGGAGTCGACTGAAGCGGAGAAGGTTAGGTCAGCCATAGGGCCTGTGTGGTCTATGGTCTGTCCTCCGATTACGTAAATGGTATGGTTAACCGAAGTCACTCCGAAATATTGGCGGGATGGAGGAAGACCGTTGAACGAGCACGGTAGTCTCTGTCGCATACGGAGATCAATGAAGAGGGCGAAACCGAAAAGAAAAGTAGGAGTAGGAGTGAGAGGAAGCAGGAAAACAAAGAAAAAACAAAGAAATAAAAAACACCTGATATCCCCAAAGAAATCACCTGGACGAGTGGCTGAAAAAACAGATAATAATCTGAACGGAAGCAAATTAATCACAGTGAAGAACAATAATATTAAACGTTCGATACTGACCTGGCACTTGTTGGTGAAGGAATCGAACAGCTTGCAGAGCAGCCCTCCTTCTATCCGCCGGGTCAAAGTCACCAGCCACTCCGTCGATCTCCCCAACTGGCGTCTGAGATCCAAGAAACTGTCCGACGCCAGCAATCTCCGCCATTTTCCGCAAACCCCGCGGAGTCGCAGGCACCCGGGGTCAGATTCGGAGGAAACGCGAGCTAGACATTGCAGCAGGAGCTCGTCAGGAAGGGAGTGCAATGGAAAAGCAGAGTCGCCGCCTGGACTTCGCGCATCCATCTCAAGGCAGCATCGAGGATCCGAATTAGGAGCAAAAGACGCCGATCCTCTCCTCGCACTAAAATCTCTATGAACGACGCTCTTCAGCATTGGTCCTGAAAAACATACACAAGCTCAACGTTCAACGTCCCTGTTCAGATATTCAAGTTCCGGAGAACAACGGCTTCGATCTTGTTTCCTTGTGAAATCGCTTTCTGCTGCCGCTGCAGAGAAACGGTTCGGCACAGCAAGCCTGTAATGGCGGTCCCACTGTAAGGCTGTTATGGTGTGCTGCTGCTTCAGCTCAGCTCCCTGCATCCTCGGAAACAGGGCGAGAGGCCAAGCCTCGCAAGTAGCAGAGCAGGCTTCAATCAAAGCTTCGTGCCCTGCTGTTGTAGCCTGGCTGGATGAAACCGAGGCCACAAACAGTATCGAGGGGTAGTGGATTGCCACCTGGCGATGCAAAGTGACTCCACGGCTGAGATCGACGTCCTGACATTGCACGACGAGAAGGTGCGTCTTCAGGGCTCGATACGGATATAAACCAAGCCGAGAAAACCACGCGTTTTTGTAAAGCTTTCTACGTGTTTACAAGTTCTAATACTAAAGAATGTCATAATGTTTCACAAAACCGTACTACCCTTGGCAATCATGATTTGTAATTTATAGCTACATCTAGTTCCTAGTATCTGAACCCCCTCCACCACCACTACTACCACCAACCACATCACCACCACTACTATCCAACCCAACTTGAGACCCTGGCATGGGCGCTGAACAGGTGCGAATGTGCGTCTTCAACCTGGGGAGGTTAGGCTGCACGCTACGACACCGATGACACCGAAGCTCATGCCGAAGCAGGTGCCGAGCCTCTTTCTCCAACGCTGCTACAAGCTCACCAGGAACACCCAATTTAGACCACGCCACCACAGCAGCACCTCCTGCTACAGCCACCCTATATTCTTCACCTGCTGCTCCTGCTCCTCTCCGTCCATCTCCATCACCTGCTATCGCCAGCCCATCCAGTGCCTCTGCAGCCGCTACAGCTGCACCCTCCGCTACAGCTGCCTGCTCAACAGCAGTTTTGCCTGGTCCTGATGTGTCACTCCCTTTTCCTGCCCCTGTGTGGGGAGCACCCATTGGAGCCCTCGGGGAGGTTTCACCAGAGCCAGGAAAGAGGTCGAGGCCAGCTGCAGACGAGGAGACTTGGGTGGACGGCAGGGCAGGCAGCACATGGCTGTGCTGCTCTATCTGAGAAATTACCTGAAGGGTGTTGTGGAATGGGACGAATAAAATCAGCAGATAGGAAGATATGGTCAGCAGGGCATGGCAGAAAAGTGTTAAAACCGGAGGAAGGCAACAGTCCACCTGACAGCCGCGCAAGAAGAAAACCAAGAATGAACTGGCTGGTTGTCACCAGGCAGGCCATTACCTGGTGTGCATCGCGGAAGAAGGGCGAGGCGAAGGAGTTCCAGTGCTTCTTGTGCTTCACGTGGGGCGAGTCCAGGTCCTGGCTGATGGCGTGCAGATGCAGCTGGTGCATGGACGGCACCTGGGGGATGTGGATGATAGATAGTAGACGAGATCAGGACTACTGGCCAGCACATTCACAACAGGCGAGTCCAGGTCCTGGCTGATGGCGTGCAGGTGCAGCTGGTGCATGGACGGCACCTGGGGGAGGGGAGGGAGGGGGGGGGAGGGATGATAGACAGTGGATGAGATAACGGCCATTGGCTGACACATTCACACAAGGAGAGTCCAGGTCCTGGCTGATTGCGAGCAGATGTGGCTGGTGCATGGGGGGCACCATGGGGGCACAGGACAAAAGGGGAGAACAGACCCTAACGTGACTGTCGCATGAAGTTTCCCTATCATACGGTGGTAGATTCGAACGAGGTGAGTCCAGGTGGGATGGTGAATGCTCTGCGCATTACCTGGTGGAAGCCGAATGAGCATTACCTGGTGGAAGCCGACTGAGCATTACCTGGTGGAAGCCGACTGAGCATTACCTGGTGGAAGCCGACTGAGCATTACCTGGTGGAAGCCGACTGAGCATTACCTGGTGGAAGCCGGCTGAGCATTACCTGGTGGAAGCCGGCTGAGCATTACCTGGTGGAAGCCGGCTGAGCATTACCTGGTGGAAGCCGGCTGAGCATTACCTGGTGGAAGCCGGCTGAGCATTACCTGGTGGAAGCCGGCTGAGCATTACCTGGTGGAAGCCGGCTGAGCATTACCTGGTGGAAGCCGGCTGAGCATTACCTGGTGGAAGCCGGCTGAGCATTACCTGGTGGAAGCCGGCTGAGCATTACCTGGTGGAAGCCGGCTGAGCATTACCTGGTGGAAGCCGGCTGAGCATTACCTGGTGGAAGCCGGCTGAGCATTACCTGGTGGAAGCCGGCTGAGCATTACCTGGTGGAAGCCGGCTGAGCATTACCTGGTGGAAGCCGGCTGAGCATTACCTGGTGGAAGCCGGCTGAGCATTACCTGGTGGAAGCCGGCTGAGCATTACCTGGTGGAAGCCGGCTGAGCATTACCTGGTGGAAGCCGGCTGAGCATTACCTGGTGGAAGCCGGCTGAGCATTACCTGGTGGAAGCCGGCTGAGCATTACCTGGTGGAAGCCGAATCGGAAGCGCAGTGGCTGAGGAGGGGATGACCCGGCTGTGGTAGCAGCCGGCCCTGCTACCCTCGCTATAGGCGCCCCCAACCCTCCCTTTACAGGCAGAGACTTTTCCCTGGCATGCTCAGCTCCACTGCATGGAGCAGCGCCAGGAGATTTTTCAGGTGGCTTCTGTGGCAAGGTCTCTTGCTGTGGCACATTTCCAGAACCAAGAGTGGGGTTGGAGGAGGAGGAGGGGGAGACGGAGTGCGCCGCCCACTGCTGCCCGACAGCCAGCATGTGGCGCAGCAGAGGCAAATCCGCTGCTGTGGCGTCAATGATGCGATCCACACCGTCCGTTCGTGCAATCACAAGCAGATGATGCCGGGCCTGTGGCAGGAGTGGAGTGAGGGGCATCACGGGAGTGGTGGATCAGCATTGGTAGTGGTAGACTATTCCTCTTGAACATTGTTCATTAGCAATATTCCTCGTACAAATTCCCATTAACGCTCGTCACTTGGCAGCATGCCTTTAAAGCCCCTAACGATTTAGAGCCATTCACTCCATCCACACATCTCGGGGTTTGGAACTCACCTTGGGGTATTTATCGCGAATGACCACCACATGGGCATCAGCAAACAGAACCACGTCGCCATGCCTCTCAGGCCGCAGGGCGATGTCCCTCAGTGCATGCTTCCATGACCCATCCGCCCCCCCATGCCCCTCCTTCCGCTTGCTGCCTCCCCCTCCCCCTCCTCCTCCTCCTCCGCCTCCTCCGCTCCCCGCTCCTCCTTCACCGCCCCCTCCCCCTCGCATATCACTTGCCCTTCCCCCTCCCAGTCCCCCCCTCCTCCCCCTCCCCCATCACCACCACCACCACCACCACCACTGCCACCACCGCCCCCTCCCCCTCCTCTCCCTCCTCCCCCTCCTCCCCCTCCTTCTCCCCCACCTTCATCCCCACCCCCACCAGCTCTTGCTTCTCCTTCTCCTCGCCCTCCCCTCTCACTCCCTCTCACTCCCCTCCCCTCACTCCTCCTCCACCACTGCATCCCTCCTCCCTCGCTCCTCTCTCCTCTCACCCCAACACCACCCCCCTCTCTCCTCACCCCTCCACCATCCCCCCAACCTGCCCCCTCACCCCTCCTCTCCCCCAGAACCCCTTCCTGCAACATCTCTCCCCCATACCCCCCCTCTCCGCCCCCATCCATCCCCCCTTCCCTCCCCTCGTCCTCCGCCACCCTACCAAGGTTGGGTCGGAACGCTGCCCTTCCGCGGCCCGCCCACAGACCCATGGGCTGCCCCTCCCCCGCCCCCGCCCCTGCTCCCGCCACAGAGGGCAAGCGGGACTCGCTTGCTGCCTGCCTTCCTGCAACGCGGCCCCCCACGCTCGCTGTGTGCCAGCCTGCAATGCCCGGCCTGTCCGCCTCTGCAGGCACTCGAGGGAGGGGAGGGCGGGAAGCAGCAGGTGCTGCGAGTGCTGGCTGCTCAGCCACGCTGCACACCACAGCCCCAGCCCTAGCCTGCGCCTCAGCCAGCGCCACAGCTTCAGTCCCAATGGGCGTGGGCGTGAGAGATGCTGGTCTACCAGCGAGTTCTGGTGCTGCTGTAGAGTCGGGTGCACCTGATGGCACCTGAGCTTCTGCTAGAGGCACCTGGCGCTCTGTTGTGACTACCTGGGGTTCCACAGAGGGCACCTGAGCTGCTGGAGGGGAACCAGCAGCGCTTGGAGCATTTGCTGGTGGTGGTGGTGGTGGTGGTGGTGTTGGTGGTGGTGGTGCTACTCCAAGTGGTGTTACATTGTCACCATCACTGCGCCCGCCACCACCAGCACCACCAACAGCACCACCAACAGCATCAGCATCAGCATCAGCATCAACATCAGCATCAGCATCAGCATCAGCATCAGCATCACCACGCACATCCCTCCTTATACTTCCTCGACCATAGGAACCACCAGCCCCCCTGCCCTCACTAGTAGCACCTGTCGCCACTGCAGCCGCTGCAGCAGCTGCAGAGCTGTCACCTCGCGACCAATACCCACGGTCGCCTCCCGCAGCCGTGGAATCTGCTCTCGCCGACGTGGAGTCGGCCCCAGCTGACGTAGAAGCGGTGGCAGTATCGCTGCTGGGAGTGGTTGAGGTGGTGAACGACATGACAGTGGTTGGGGAGGGCGCTTGGGCTGGCTCTGCGCCTTGTGGCCTGCCTGCTGGGTCGAATGCTTCCTTCCCTGCTGCCTCTGCCACTGCCCGAGCAAAGACTGCTGCTCGTGCGTCGGCTTCTGCCCGCGCCTCCGCTGCTGTTGCCCCTCTGCCTGCTGCTGCCCCTCTGCCTGCTGCTGCCGCTTTCAACTGTGCAGCAGCAGCAGTGACATCGTCACCACCACCACTATCACCACCTCCTCCTGTTTGCACGCGGATCTCTTGCACCATCTGAGCCGTCGGATCAGCAGGCTCAGCCAGCATCCACGGCCAGGGAGGGTTGGTGCTGCTGTGGATCCACGATATGCCTCTGCCTCTCCCCCTGGGGTGCCGCCTGTCCCATGCTGCCTTCCCTGCTGCCGCTGTTGCTGCTATCGGTGCTGCTGCAGCTGATGCTATCGGTGCTGCTGCTGCAGCTGCTGTTGTCGCTGCTAATGCAGCTGCTACTGGCTCTCCTGCTGTTGCTGTCGCCCGAGGTGTGGCTATGGCGGTGGTGGGCCCAGGAGGGGTGGTGGGAGGGGGATCAGGAGCAAGGGAAAGAGCAGGAGGAAGAGGAGGAGGAAGAGGAGGTGCAGTGCCAGCCTGAAGCACAATGTGTACACCAGTCGCCCTTCCCGCATCCCGAGCCTGTCGCTTAGCTTCGGGTAGGAGCTCACCAGCCACTGCATCCGTCCTAGCCTGGTGACCAGCCGTTCTCTTTCTCCCAGCTGCCATAAGCACAGCAAAGGCATCTCGTGATGCCCTCGGCTTCGGCTTCTCCCTGCTCGCCCCCGCCCTAATTCGCTGCTGCATCTCTTCCCGTTCTGACTCCTCACCTTCCGCACTCTCTTTCACTCCAATCCCCTCCTCCCCTTGTTTCTCACGGCCCGTCCCCTCCTCCAACTCCTCCCCACCTCGTCCTCCCCTGCCCTCACCTTCCCTGTCATCTCCTTCCTGCACTGCCCTTCTCTGCTTACCTCCCACTTCTATCGCTCGTCTCTTGTTGCCCTCGTTTCTCTCACGCCCCTCCCCCTCACCTCCAATCTGCTCATCATCATCATCGTCCGCACGTGCTTTCCTCTTCCCCCTCCCATGATCACCACCAGCATCCCTCCCTCTTCGCCTCATCTCCCCTCTCCCATCTGCCCCACTGTCCCATAACCCTATATTCTTATCGTCCCTTCCCGTGTTAGATGCTCCCATGTCTCCTTCGTTAGACACTCTCAGTTGCGCCTCTGCAAGCCCTCCACCTTCCTCCCACCCTCGCACCAACAGCCCTTCTTCCCCCAGCCTACCCTCTGCCACATACAATCCCCCTTTCCCAACCATAACTCCTCCTCCTCTCACCTCCCCCCCACCTTCTCCCCCTTCTACATCCCCTTCCATCCCTCTCTCCCCCTCTTTATCTCCCGCCCCCCCCCTCACTCTCCCCACTCCCTCCTCTCCTCCACCTCCCCTCGCCTCCCCTTCCTCCTCTCCCCTCTTCGCCAGCAGCCGAAACTCTCTAAAGAGCGCCCCATACGCCGACCTCAGCACCCTCTCCCCCTCGTTATAGTCACCATCCAGGCAGTTGGGCCGGCGGGGATTCATATTAGGACCAACCACGTGCACCACGTGCCTTACCCCCTCACGCGCACGCAGAGGAGAGGAGGGAGGGAGGGGGGCGGCGAGGACAGAGCCTGGGGAGAGGAGGGGCTGAGAGGGGGGAGGGGGGGAGTGGAGCTGGGAGGGGGAGTGCTGATGCTGGTCGTGCTGCAAGTGGGACTGCTGCCTCTCCGACCTTTGTTTCTGCTGCACTGATTGCTGCTCATGCCCCTGATGCTCTTGATGCTGCTGCTGCTGCATCTGCTTCTCTTGCCGTTGCTGCTGCCCTTGCAGCTGCTGCTTCTCATGACGCTCCTGCGTCACTTGTTGCTGCTGGTGCTGCTGCTGCTTCTCCTGCTGGTGTTGCTTCGTCTGCTTCTCCTGCCATTTCCGTCGCGTTACCTCGACAAGGCCGGGGCCAGCAGCAGTGTGGATGGCTGCATTCACTCCGCCCCCGCCCGGCAGCAGGCGACTGCCAACACACGACAACACCGCAAAGGGATAGGATACTTGCAGAATGGCGAAGGCAACAAGGCAATAGGCAGCAGATCGAAATGTGCGTGCCATGAACCACACCCCACCGTGCATGGTGCATCCTCCCCTGCATGCTGCCATGTCACGTCATCCTACCTGTTGGCCGAATTCGCAATGACGTGGCACTCGATGCCGCCTTCCGACCTCATCTGGGTGATATCCCCCGCATGCAGGATGAACCTGCCACGTGTGCTGTCGTCCCACGTGTCCCTCTCACCACCTCTGGCCGCCCTTACCCCATCTCTACCCCTGTCTCCAGCCCCATTGTCATCGCACACATCTCCAGCCCCCATGCCCGTAGCGCCCCTGCCAGCAGCAGCAGCAGCAGCGGCGCCACCATCAGCAGCACCAGCACCAGCAGCATCAGCAGCATCAACGGTCACAGCAGCTGCACCAGCACCTGCAGCAATGGCAGCAACTTCTGCTCTACCCTTGCCTGGCCCTTCCCTTGCCACATCCCCTTGATCCTCCCGCTCACCCCTCTCACCACCTCTTAATCCGCCCACCCGTCCAGGTTCAATGAACCCCCGGCCCTTGTGCTCTCCCCTCTCTCCCTTGTGCTCGCCTCTCTCCCCACCATCCGCTCCTCTCCTAGGCCGTCCAGATTCAAAGAACGGCAGGCCTCTCTGGCGGGCAAGGCGCCTCACTCGCCTGAGCATGTCAGAGGAGGGGGAGAGGTCCACCAATACCAGGTCTAGAATGGGAAGGCGCTCAGGCGTGTCTTGCTTGGGCGGGGAGTCAGACACTGTAGACGATGTGTTGCCGCCGCCCGGAGGCAATGTTTGTCTGTTCTCCTCCGGTGCTCCGGGCGGTGATGTTTGCCTTATCTCTCCTGGTGCTAGGGGGCTTTGCTTGGCTGCTGGCTGGCCGTGCCTAGTGCTGGCACCGTTATTGTCACCTCCGTTTCCGTTGACGCTGCAGCTTCCCATGCCACTGGCTCCGTTACTGTCACCGTTCCCATTCCCGTTTCCGTTTCCCCCTTGTTTCAGAGCCCTAACAGCAGCAGCACCAGCAGCAACACCAGCAGCACCAGCAATCCCGGCAATCGTACCGCCATCAACAGCAGCAGCAGCAGCAGCAAGCCCACCACTCCCACTCCCACCCACACCCTCCCCTTCTCCTCCCTCCACCTCGCCACCGCCCACTCTCCCCTCCCCCGCGCTCCTGGCAGTGGTGCTGCCGTGGCTGCTGCCGCCGTTGCGCCAGAGGAACTCAGTGACACAGTCTACGATCACCGCCGCTGCTCGCTCCCGGTCGAACTTGAAGTCCGCCGTGGAGATGGAGGGGAACGCCAGCACCCACCGCCGTGCTGCCTGCTGCTGCTGCTGCTGCTGCTGCTCTTTTTTCTGCGGCTGCTGATCCTCCTCTTGCTCATCGTCCCCTTGCCTATCACCCTCTTGGTTGTCATCCTCCCTTTCCCCCTTGTTTCTTTCCAGGTTCCGGTTCTCCCTGCGCTCGTGCCTCTGCTGCCCCTCCTCGCCTCTGCTTCTCTCTCTTCCCTCACCGTCACTCCCTCCCTTCCTCCCACCCTCGTTTCTGTCACCTCCATCGTTCTCAGCAGCAACGTCAGCCGGTCCGCATCCATCATGATGCCCCACGTCATACGACTCCCCACCCACGCGTGCCTGCATGCAGGAGGCCTGCACCTGCCTCAATCCACCCCCCTCTGCTGCACCCTCCGCTCGCCCAGCAAAGAGGCCTGCACCCTCCGCTCGCCCAGCCAAGAGGCCTGCATCCTAAAAGCAGCGGTACGACGCGCAGCAGCGAGAGGGGGAGACGATGGGGGCGAGGGTGAGAGAGTGAGAAAGGAGGAAACGTGGGGCAGAAATGGAGCAGACTTGCACTTAGGCGCCTCCAAACAGGGAACGGCACAGACTTCTGCCGCAGAAGAGTGAACTGGGAGAGTGACAGAAGGCGGATGTTGGGGGCGTAAGAGTATGTGGCGTTGCAAGGGGGCGAAAAAGGGCCAACAGAAAGCGAGAGGGTGGCAAAGGAAAGGGAACGTCCTCCCACCTGCGCTTCGCTCCCCATCCGCGTGCAGTCTTCGTCTCTTCCATCGTAGCCCCACATCCTGGCTCGATGCGTTCACTTGCTGCTGCTCCTGCTCCTCATGCGGCTCCTCCTGCAGCTGCTGCTGCTGCTGCTGCTGCTGACGCAATTCCAGCTGCACGTTCTGCTGCTCCTGGCTCTCGCTGTGCTGTGCTGCTGCCTTAGCACCACCATGCTTCTTCGCTCCACCGCCACCTCCCCCCCCATCCCCTTTACTAGCTGCTTCCACAACAGGCTTGGCACGGAAGTATCGCCTGACATCATACACTGCAGGCTGTGATGGGCTGACGTCCTCTACTCTACTTGTTGCTAAGTCCCTAGCTCCTGTTACTGTTCTAACTGCCTCTACGGCACCTACAGCAGCTGGATCAGCTGCCGCCGTACCTTCTACTCTACCAGCCAGACTGGGTTTGTGACCGAACCAACAGGTTCGTGCTTGTTTCCTCTCCTCCTCTCCTTGCTCTACCGCTGCCTCCTGAGACTCCCCTTCCCCTATCACCCCTTTTATCGCCCTCCCCTCCGTATTCCCATCTCCATCCCTCTCTCCCCCTCTCTCTACCAATTCTCCATCCCTCCCCCCTCCTCCCCTCCCTACATCCCCCCTCTCCCTGTCCCCATGCCCCTTTCTCCCTCCCCCACCCTCCGCCATACTCCTCTCCCCCTGCCCGTCCCCCTCCCTCCCCCTCCCTCCCCCCGTCTCCCCCACCGCTGCTGGCCGCTCCAAGGCTCCTGGAGTGGCAGCAGCACACAAGGGAGTATCAGATCCTACAACAGGAGCAGTGTCAGCAGCAGCAGCAGTGCCAGTAACAGCAGCAGCGTCAGTAACAGCAGCAGTGTCTGCATTGCTACGCACTACAGCGAGGGAGGGTGCTGGTCCTCTCACCCGCTCTCTCTCTGCAGGCCCTTGCTGTTCATACACGCGCCCTGGGTGCTCCTGTCCTCCCTGCCTTGCTCCCTGTCCCTGCACCCGCGCCTCGTCTCCTCCCCTCAGCTGCATCCCCTGCACCCGTGCACCTATTTCCTCTTCGCCCTGCCCCTCCTGCGTGGTTGCTCCAGGAAGCGCGGCAGCAGCAGCAGCAGCAGCAGCGGAGGGTGAAAGGGCAGCAGGAGCAGCGGCGGAGGGCGAGAGCGCGCGGTAGAAGGCGAGCGCCTGGTCCACCTGGGCGTCGGTGCGGCACACTGTGATGCGGTGAAAGCCCTCCGTGGGAGAGGGGGGCTCGCGCATCTTCATCTGATGCCGGATGATGCCAGCAGCTCTGGGGCCCTGGATGGTGGAGGCGGGAAGGGGTGCGGAGAAGCATTGATGGGCGGAGAGACGCGTGGCAATGCACGTTGACTAGGCGAGATTGTGTGGGAGGTATGGCACTCTGTTGCGATTCGCAAACGCTCGCGTGCCAGCGTCCCTGGTGCTTTACTCGGTTGACCTCTCTATTTGCGACACGAGTGCCATGGGGAGGTGAAATCACACGCACTGACCTCCCATTTCCCGTGCTCCCGCTCAACCCTCTCAACCCCTCTCAACCCCTCTCAACCCCTCTCACCTGCATGCCGCCCTTGTTGCTGACTCAGTCGACCGCTCTCTGCACCATCACCGCCATAGGGAGGTCAAACCCTCAGTTTCACTCATTCATGTCTCTCATGGTTCGTGGCATTTGCTCTCACTTTCTACCCCTCTCACCTGCACGCCGCCCTCGTGGTTGACTCGGTTGACCGCCCTCTGCACCACCACCGCCATCGGGAGGTCGAAGACGACCACGTGCGCCTGCACGTTGCAGCGGCGCGCCAGGGCGAGAAACTCGGCGCGCTGCTCCACGCTCATGTTGCAGCGGTCCAGCACCACGCATGTCTGGGACGAGAGGTGACGGCTCACCTACCAGAGAAAAAGAGGTTACATGGGAGGGAGAAGAGAGTGGGGGGAAAAGTGTGCAAGTCATGGGAGGCCTGGTGACAGTCAAAGAAAAAGAAACGTGCATATTGTGAATACTGGATAAGGAAAAGGTTGGGAAATTAACGGTGAACACTCACTTGTGCCAGGCACTGCTTCCGAGTGCCAGGTGTCCCTCGCGCCGATGCCACGTCCTGAAGTCAGGAACAGCAGGAGGGATTGACATCATAGGGGGGAGAATGAAACAGAAAACTGCCTGACGAGCAGCTGAGAGCCCAGAAAAACGATTGAGAATTACACTTTCGTGAAGGTCTGCGAAGAAAAATCACTGCAAGCTCATGAGCCTGAAGCATCTTGAGGTGTTTTGACAACTAAGAACGTGAGATATGGAATAGTTATCGATCAGAGGCTCTTGATCCAATTGTCTGAATTGGATCGTATGTCTGTCAGTGTGGTATTCGAACGGTGTGATTGGGATCCCAACTGTCAGACAGAGTGATCGAAATCGATAAAATTAAGAATAAAAACGCTTGCTAAAGTACCTAAACGAATCTTCTTTGCTAAACCAAAAAGGGAGAACAGTCAGCGAGGCAGACCTGACAAACACGCGCGTACGGTAGAGGAGCACCGCCACCAGCAATCAGCAAGCCTGCGAATCTACTTTTGCCGCTGCCTGGCGGGCCGACCAGGACCAGCAGGAAGGGGAACGAACGAGGTTTGCCATACGATACGGGCCGAGCCTCTGCTGCAGCTGCGGTTTCGGGTGCCACGGAACCAGCCTGGTTCTGAGGGTCCATTGCGTCCGAGCTGGAATAGGCTGCAAGCCCTACTCAGTGATCCTGCGAGTCCATAAGGTTGAGTGTCATCTAAGGTCTAAGCTCCTAAGCTTCTCGAATGGCGTATATATCAAACCTTACTTCTGATCCTAAGACAGGGCTAAAAAATACGCACGTGGAAGGGAAAGTGATGGGACATCTCAAATCCCTCCGGTTTCAAGCTACCAGCAGGAAAATATCAGCGAAATATCAACATGGTGGTCCCACTCCCACCCGCTCACAGAGCCGCATGAACTGTCATTCCCACAGGCATTTGGTTTCAAGAATCACGATCAGGAAGAGGAAAACGAACACCAGTCATCATTTTTATGTCAGCCATGGTGCATGGCAGGCACGGAGGCACATCTCCTAGCCATGGCTGGCAGGGCAGGTGGGGTGTTGGCGCGGTGACGCGAACTTCCCCAACCATCCCCAGGTGGAGATGCGGGGTATCGATCCCCGTGCCTCTCGCATGCTAAGCGAGCGCTCTACCATCTGAGCTACATCCCCATGGTTGCCGAGAATGCATTTTTATCTTAAACTTTTTTTATTTTGACAGTAGTCAACTCAACTTTCTTCTATCACAACCTCTTCATCCGCTCTCCCTTCCAACTTTGCTGTGTCGTTCACAGCTACTCGTCTTCAGTCTCTACTTCCACCACATATCGCCACAATGGCCGTCTCCTTCGGCGATCTCTCTACTCCCGCTGGTCTCAAGCAGCTCGACGAGTACCTCCTCACCCGCAGCTACATCTCAGGGTATGCGCGCCAGGGTTCAGGGTTTGCAGGATCTAGTCTCCAGTCAGTCGCGCACCTAAATCTCACATTGACTTCTGGATCCGATCAAGTTTTCCGGATCTCCTTCCGATCCGGCTGTCTACTTCCCCGTCAGCTCAAAATTTTGCGTTTTTTTTCCCTCCCTTTTTTTTTTCCCCGTTATCGTGACATCTCACGATCTGTCCGATCTCGCCTCGGCTCGCAGCTTCCAGGCGTCGCGCGATGACCTCACGGTCTACAGCGCGCTCAAGACCTTCCCCAAGGGCTACACCAACGCTGCGCGGTGGTACACGCACATCAAGGCGCTCCTCGGCTCCGCGTGAGTCCCACCGTCACCGTCTTTCTAAATCATCCCCAAATGTTTCTTTGTCCGGATCGTCTGCGGATGTACGGGTTATGTTTCTCCTTTCAGCGCTACCTACGATCTTAATGTCTCGGCTTCGAAATTATTTGATCTCCCCCACTGCCCATGTCTTGTTTATCCTTTTCCTGTACTTGTCTCGTGTATCCTTTTCCTGTGCGTCCAGCTTCGCTGCTCCCGGCGTCGGTGTGGTGATCGGCGGTGCTGCTCCGGCCGCCGCTGCTTCTGTTGCTGCTGTCGCCACTCCCCCTGCAGCTGAAGCCAAGCCCGCTGAGGTATGTATGGACATGTGAGGGATGTTTTCCGCGTGGACATGTGAGGGATGTTTTCCGCGTGGACATGTGAGGGATGTTTTCCGCGTGGACATGTGAGGGATGTTTTCCACGTGGACATGTGAGGGACGTCTTCCATATGGGCGAGTAATGCGTGTATGAAACGGATCTAAATGGAGGGGTAAGGTGTGATGAATTAGTGCTGTCCCTGTTCTTGACCGTGCGCGAGAGTTCTGAGTGCATGTGTTGTAAAGGGGACCGCAGAGCGAGAATCAGCATGGGGCATGCTGCTGACCTGATTGGTGTGTTTTCAAGCCGAATCTCTGCTCGGAATACGCACCTTTCACACCAGACACTCCAGCACGTACGCGTGATCTCCACCTAGACCCGTTCTTCCACCGGAAGCAGTCCACTTCCTTAACCCCTTGCGGTCGCATTCGCGTTCGCCGCGGCCCGTCGCCTTAGATCTGTTTGGGCGATTTACCTCGTGTTAAATCACCTCCCCTCATGACTTGGCGCCATGTCTGGCAGGACGAGGAGGACGACGACGACCTCGATCTGTTCGGCGAGGCCACGGAGGAGGAGAAGGCGGCCGCGGCTGAGAGGGAGGCGAAGGCCGCCGCGTCTGGCAAGAAGAAGGAGAGTGAGTATCCGTCTGTATGTGCTTGAAGGGGTTTGCGGGTCTGACCGCTTGCTTGACGGAGAGTGAAAATCCGTTCGTTCGCGTCAAGGATGAGGGTTGAATGCGTATTCGCGTGCTCGCCTTGGGCTCTGCCACTCGTGCACCCGCTAACGACCTCGTGTGACTGAATGCGGCGTGCGTGTGCCTCCGTGTGTGCCTCTTTGGCAGGCGGCAAGTCGTCGGTGCTGCTGGACGTGAAGCCGTGGGACGACGAGACGGACATGGCCAAGCTGGAGGCCGCCGTGCGTAAGGTCGAGATGGACGGGCTGCTCTGGGGCGCCTGTGAGTATCCTTTTTGGCTCTACTTCACTAGATCCGCCTGCGCTTGGTGCTTGGTACCGTGTAAACTCTCTACCCGTTTGCTGCATGGGGGTTGCGTGGCTATTCGGAGGTGCCTGTAAGTGAGGCGTCGAAAGACCAGTGCAATTGACCCGCTCCTTTCTCCCACCGTTTTTCCCGTTTCACATCGGATGACACACAGCCAAGCTGGTCCCCGTTGGGTACGGCATCAAGAAGCTGACGATCATGATGACCATTGTGGACGACCTGGTGTCGCTCGACGAGCTCATTGAGGACCACCTGCAGGCGGGCGAATGCGCCGAGTTCATCCAGAGCTGCGATATCGTTGCCTTCAACAAGATCTAAGGTGAGGATGGGTAGGGAATCTGTTTTTGCATGGTTTGATATCTGTTGCATCTCCTTCGCATTGGATATGTACTGTGCTCACGTTTCACTGCTGTGCGTCTTTGCTTTCAGGAGATGGTGGGAAGATGTGTCATTGTGAGCTGAGGACATGTCCTTCTAGTAGGGCATGCTGCGCATGCCAACATGTGGTTGCTTGAGTACGTGACAGTTCTGTTTGATCATGAAATTAATGGATTTTGTGTGGTACGGTACTATTCTTACACAGCTTCAGCAGCTAATTCCACCCGCGGTTCAGAGCGGTTGTGCAGATAACTAGGCCTCGAGATCATGCCGAGTTGTGAACATGGACACAAGGTAGCTAGGTTTCATCCTGGTCGCACTTTCGCGTCGCATTGGCGCCTTGCCGTCAGACCAGCAGAAGTCCGCATCTCCCCATTTGGTTTGGGCTAGCCAAGCCGCACCCACTCCCGTACTTCTTTCCCTCCTTACCAGTGTCAGCTGGCATGGCTCGCGGCCCCCCAAAGCAGCCAGCGCAGCTCGGAGTCCCCAGAGGCTTCAGGTTCCCAAACCAGCTGATCAAGCCCTTCACCATAGGCTTCGGGTCTCCGTCCGTCAGGCATCGAGCCTACTTCACCTTTCGGACCGTTCACTGGCCTGGCTTTGGCGCTCTCCGAGCCTGACAGCACATCTGTCCTGTCATGCCCCCCAGAATGCTGGAGTGCCTTGGGAATTTCTGCGTGCAGTGAAAACAGAATCCGTCATTTGCCTCCGTCAGCGAGGAGGCAGCAGGCCCTGCAGAGCAGAGACACGGACGGAAATGCGTGGGATGATGCGAGAGAGTGAGAAGCGTTCTGATGTCGTATCGTGTCGTCTCTCCTATCATGTCGTGTCTCCGATCGTGTCTCCTCTCCGATTGTGTCGTCTCTCCGCTTACGCCCTACGCGCTTAGGTCAATCCGTCCGCAGGTCTAGAAGGGTCACGTGTCAAAAGTAAGGGAGGAGTCTGGAACGTACGCTGTACTATGTGTGACTTACGGAGACACCTGGAGCGATAGTAGGCTGCGAAATTCTGTGGAGGACCTATTACGAAGAATTTGCAGCTGGTGTTCGGGGTAGTAACTATTGTAGCCAACCTAGGTATAGCAGTCTCGCGTTGGTTGACGGCAAAATGGGTTACGGCGTGCCTATCGGTGACTGGACGACGTCATGCACGGATTGCCACGAAGACTGTGGAACCAGTAGGTCCTGCGAGGTTGAGATTCAGCTACCATGTCGTTGGTGCTGCCGCTTTCCAGCCTGCCTCCTTGTCACGCTGTCGTATTCCTGTTTAGCAGGTCTTACTTCCGAATAGCTAACTGTCCGGATTTTCCGTGCTCTTGTTTATGTTTATGTGCCCAGCGTGCTGTGCGCTGTTCTGTCCGTGCGTCCTCGTGGGTCGAACAACGGAAATCGTCACCGACGGCGGCTCAGGTTAGCTAAGCCCAAGCTGAGACTACAGCAAAGCAGCTTTGTCTTTCCCCTTATCTTCGCCGAGTGGCGGTTGTCAATGCAGTCACCCGAGAGTGAATCCCGTTTTTCTTTTTTGTCAAACCTGAGCAGACGCGACGACATCGTGCTGTCTATTCTTCCTCTTCCAATTATGCATGATGGGATGTCTTCATTCTCATGGTAAGGAATTTGGCACTTCCGTATTAATGCCTGAGCAAGGGTTAATAAGCATATTCATGTCTCATTCACCTCGCGTTCGTGGTGCGACACCCGCTCCGTATTGCTGACTCCGAGTATCCACTGAACTGACAGGAATTCGGAACAAGTTACGACAGAAATACGTCTTGCCTCCACGGCCTTGCGGTGACTGCTTGATGCACTGCGCGTGCTTGTGCTGCTCCATTGCTCAAGAGATCAGAGAGCTAAAGAACCGTGGATGGGACCCAAAACGAGGTATGAAGACCCACGCCTTAGTCCATGAGCTTCTCCTTGTAGTTGATTTAAGGCCTTTATCGAGCACGTCACTGATAATTATCTGAAACATACATGCTGGTCAGTATGCTCACGAATGTCACGTGGTTTCCCTTCCAGGTTATGAAGAGAACATGCGGATACTTCAAGCAAGGGGCTTGCCACCTCCGCCACAGTCGATGCTGCGCTGATGCGGTGTTGGCCTACAAACTTTTCATCGCGTTCAAACTTCACCGGGCATTTGACCTGCCCGGTTCCTTCACAGACGCCACCTGGCCCAGTAGCCCTGTCTGGCAGTCAAAATCAGCATAAGCTTTCTGGCAGACATGGAGAGCATAGGTGGCGGGAAGTATCAAGAGCTGACAGTATTTCCATTATTTCTGCTACTACCTCAGCAGCATACACTGCCAAATCTATTTGCTGCAGATTGGCATCTCTAACCTTCAGATGCTGGATTAGCGGACCACATCCCCGTGTCTTAGCCAGGAGGACAACCCATTCATTCCCCGGTTTCCTACATGTCCAACCAGTCACGTCAAGAGTCAGAGTGGGCAGACATTCCCCCCTTACTTCCTGACCGTCCCACAACCTTCAAAACTTCCCCCCCAAATCGCTCGCTCGGTCCCTCTACTCATGCTTGTAGATCAAGGCTGTCGAATGATGCTTTATTTACTAGGTTACTTCAATAAAGGCTAGGAAAAATAGCACCAGGAAGCCAATATGGGCATCTATGCTGTATTGAGATTTTGCCTCAACCAATTAACTAACAATATTAAGGTTTTTTTTCAAATAGCGTGGCGTTGTGCCCAAATTGTACAGAGAATCCATTTATTGAATGTGTGAGGGTGCCACACCGAACGTGACCAGTAAGGTTGTACTGTATCGCAGTTGGAGTAGGTAGGACTCGGAGCGACTTGATCAAACCGAGGCAGCGCCGACATTCGAGGAGCGGATCTGTAGGCATGTCGGTCGAGCCTCTCGGCCACCGCATTTTGCACGACGCCAAGCCTACAACGCGTCACGTCGCCCCCAACCGAACCAGCCCAAATCGAACTGCGCATCGTCTCGGCCGCACAATTCATCGGACCCCACCGTTGCTCCGCTGAACTTTGGTTCTGCAACTGTCCGAGCCAAGCTCCAAAGTCCCTCCTGACCTGACTCCCTGAGGCGAAGTGATTGCGAATCAATCGAAATCAAGGGAGTTGGCGGGGGAAATGGGGGGTGGTTGGGTGATGGAACTGGGTGTGTGTGAGAGTCCTTCCGCCTGTGTGCTCACTTCCGTGCATGCCTAGCGGAACAGGAACCATTTTACGGTGGAAAGGAACGAAACTGCAGCGTAGGTGGCATGGGAATTGACGGTACAGTATGAAGAAAACGGCTACTCGGAGGCTCGTTTTGGGGACGCTGTTTCTCCCAGTACAACGCTGTATTGACGGCGCTGTGCTCTTTCTCGGCGCTCCGACAGGCTGCCGACAAATCAGGGAAGACCAGGAGTCGTGACTCGTGAGTCCTGATGCGTGACTCGGCCTCCGCATCCTGAGTGTTTCATAAAGCACTGCGAAGCATTCACATTCAGAACAGCAACTGGCATTCCTGGCAGTTCATCATTGTGGAAACAAGTCAGCCTCGCATCACCGTGATCTATCTAGATAGCAGTTCCTCTACCGCCAAACTCGAGGCCTTTAATTTCGACGCAATAGTCAAATAGTTCTCCAGCTCTGAGCATTCTCCGCGCAAACTCAGGTTTCTGTCACTTTGAGTTTGGAATCTAGTCTCTGAATCGAAGCACTAGAGACAGTCATGGCTCGGTCGATCGCTTTGGCCGTCACGTTAGTCCTCGCGGCCGTCATCTGCCTGTCGGCCATCAGCGTTGACGGCGCTGCACCGCCGTCGAAGACGCAGCTGAAAGCCGAGCTGAAGAAGCTAACGGCGACGATCACGAAGAAATACCCCAAGTACTCCAAATACTCGGCGCAAATCAACAAGGTCATCAACGTTGCGTGTAAGTGCTCTAAACCCTAGAAGATGTGAATTCTTAGTCGACTCAAGTCACGACAATCACGATGAAATGCCCTAAGTTCTCAAGTACTCGGCGTAAGTCAACAAGATCAACAATGTTGCGTGTACGTACCCGATAACTCGGCTGGATTTCAAACTGAGCAGCAGCGTCTCATAGTGAAGAAAGAATCCTGGCATATGTTCGTGCTTGCATCAGAATGTGTATCGCCTGCGCGGACAGCAGAGCTGGGATGAGCCTTGGGATCTCGACTGTGCTTCTCGCATTGGCTGACGCCTTCCTTACTCAACGCCCCTTTTTCTCCGTTCCTCCCTGCTTTCGCCGGATTTGCTATCCCCGTTACAGTGAACTCCAAGTACGACCTGTCAGCGCTCAAGAACTGCACGATGCTGCTGATGAGCGACGCCGTCGCCGACAAGCTCGCCGCGCGGTTCAAGGGCAAGAAGATCTCCCCCGACACCGCCTACAACCTGACAGCCATTCAGATCATCGCGACACGTTACTCGCAGACCCAGTTGCAAGCGATGAGGAGGGGTCTGCAGCTGCCGACGCAGCTCAAGAAAATGAGCCTCGTGAAAATGTCTCCTGTGGGGGCGAAGATCTCGTTTGGCCAGCAAGGCATGGCGCGGGGCACGTGGAGCACGGTGGTTGAGCCTCAGATGTACGTCGGACCGTACTTCATCGCGCACGGCGTTGACCAGCCACAATTCCCTAAGGGCACTAAGCTGCCCGCCTGAGGATGGGGCTGAGGATTTGTTGCCCACTGGGATGGTCGCGTTATGCTTGCTTGTTAGCGAGGACCGTGTTCAAGTTGCTCCGCTTGAACCACTGGTGTGATGTACCTGTTTATTCAATACAGTACATATGAGATAAGAGCACTCAAGCTTCTTGTACCGTACTATCAAAATTAGAGAAGTGAATGATCGGTAGAGTGAGAGTACACACAGATATACCTAAGTGTTGTACCCTCTAAGAGGTGACCCTATACAGTCTATACAAACATGACAAATACACATGTTTGACACACCCCTTAGACTGCATAGGGGAAATGTCCTAAACAAGCAGCTCAGGGCGGCACTATTAGTCCAACCTCTGAGACAGGGGTCTGAGCGACAGGTCAGAAAGGGTATAGACAAGGCAAGAACAAGAGCAGGGCGGCACTACTAGTCCAGCCACTGGCAGAGGACACAAGTCCAGTCTGAGTATACATATAAAGGACAGTACAAAGTCAAGGTCCTAGCAAGTGAGAGGTTACCGGAACTAGACCAAGCTGTACACAGTGCCGCTGATAATCTTTAGGCGCAAGCGCCTTCGTAAAGATATCAGCTGTGTTGGCACCTGAGGCCAAGTGTACTACGCGAGCCTGACGTCGCTGCTGTAGCTCACGCAGGAGGAAGTACCGCAGCTGAATGTGCTTCGCTCTGCCCTCGAGTCGAGGCTCCTGACACAGGAGGATCATGGCCCTGTTGTCAGCGAACAGGACCGGGGCAGAGCTAGGCCGCTCACCTAAGTCAGTGAGCAAGAAGGTCAGCCAACGGAGCTCCTGTGCCGCCATGGCACCAGCGTAGATCTCAGCCTCACAGCTGGACTGCGCAACAGACGAGGAGCGGGTAGCTCTCCACGAGACGGCACCTGAGCCAAGGCTGAAGCAGTAGCCCTGGGTAGACCTGAGTGTCTCAGCGTCGTCTGCCCACGAAGCGTCTGTGTGTCCAGTAAGGACCACTGGCCTGCGTCCTCCTAGCACTAACCCCATGCCCGATGTACTAGCAAGATAACGCAGGACCCTCTTAGCGGCAGACCAGTGCTGCGGTCGGTGTCTGCCTGTGGCCACAAAGCGAGCCAGGATGCTGAGATGGGGAGCAGCCTCGGAGAGGAAAGCAAGCTCGAACTGGCGGTCCTCCAGGACGTCACTGCCAAGGGCAGGAGCACCCCCCACAAACGGAGGACAGGCAGGGTCAGAGACCAGAGCTGTGGCGTAGTCAAGGCGGCGGGTAGAGGCGAAGTCAGCGACAGCGGCGACAAGAGCGTCAAGGCACGAGACCGGAACAGACGGGTCGGTAACGAGAGAGGCAAGGACCCGAGGAACAAGGGGACGAGCGGCACGAAGGTAGTCGGACAGGAGGGGGGTGCAACAACAAGGGAGGACGGAGGAGGCGACGGCAGAAGGGGAGGACGAGACGCGTGGGAACGAAGCAACATAGGGTGGGAGCGCAAGACAGGGGAGGCAGGACGAGCACGGGAGGGACGGTGAGACCAGACGTGCGACGGAGGAGTCGGGTCAGGGGACAGGGGAGGGGACACAGGAGGGGAACGAGGGGGAAGACAGGCCGGGGACGAGTCCGGCGGAGGGAAAACAGGGCCGTAGATAGGAAGAGGAGGAGACGGTCGGGGAGGAACAGACGCAGGGTCGGGGGACGGAAGGCCGAGCAGGCGAAGGGCTGACACCGGCGGGGACTGCTGCTGCGGCAGCACAACGGCGACACCTGGACCGCAAGCTGCTCCTCGGCTATCACTGGCACTCTCCACACCAGCACCCCCAGAGTCAGCGAACGGGGGCTGCGACGGCGGCGGCGGCTGCGGCGGCAACGACAACGACGGCTGCAGCGGCGGCAGAGGCGGGGGAGGAGGGGACGTGGGAGGGGACGCCGGGGGAGGGGCGGCCGGCGAGGACTGCACAGGAGGGCCACCAGAGTCAGAAGACTCCTCAACCGGGTCCTCCGACGGAAGGGGGGTGACGTGGGACACACCAGAGGGGGCGGGACGGGGAGGAGGAGGAGGAGGGGCAGGGACTACCGGGGAAGGAGTGACCAGGAACAGGGGGGGGGTAACCAGGGGACCACGGTGGGGGAAGCGACGGTAGTAGGGGACGGACTCGTCAAAGGTGACGTCACGAGAGTGAAAGAAGCGGTGAGACGGCGGGTGGTAAAAGTGCCAGTCGGACGCGTCAAGAGGAAAACCGAGGAAGACGCAGGGAAGGGTGCGGACAGTGAGCTTGTCCGTGCCGGAGGCACGAACGTGAGCAAGGCAGCCCCAGACGTGGAACGCAGACGCGTCACCAGGAGACCCAGTCTAAAGACGGGTCGGCGAAACCTGCGGCTGCTGAGGGTGCAGCCACAAGTTAAGCTGGTGAGAAGCGTAGCGCACAGCAAACGGCCACAGAAAATGGGGTGCACCGGCATGGATCATGGAGGTGCGAGCCACCTCCATGACCAAACCGATGCGTCGCTCAGCGACCCCATTCTGCTGTGGGGAGTCCGGTAGGGTGAACGTCTGGGTGATGCCCTCCGCACGACAAAAGCGACCAAGGACACCGCAGGCAAACTCGCCACCACGGTCTGAGTGAAGACGCAAGACAGGGAGACCGCGGTGGACACGCGCAGAGACAAGCCAGGGGATGAGAGCGCCAGGCACGTCGGCCTTGCGCTCCAGGGGAAAGACTGTGGTGTAACGAGTGAAGTCGTCGACAAGCACAAGGAAGTAGCGCTCTCGACGCGGCCCAGGGACGGGGGCGGGGCCCCAGATGTCCAGGTGCAGGGTCTGCAGCGGCGCGGCGGTAGGGGGAAACGAGGAGGAGTGAGGGGCACGGCGAAGCCGACCCTCGACACACAGTGTGCAAGGTGGGGCTGGGGAGGAGGGAAACGCAGGGAGAGAACCTGGGAGACCAAGGACAAGACCGTGCTGGGACATGTGACGCAGACGCGGGAGCGCAGGGTGACCTAGGCGGTGGTGCCAAAGGAGAGTCGGGTGAGTGAGGGACCGACAGGAGCAGGCGGCAGCAACCTGGGTGAGCGCTCCAGCCGGGGGGGTCACGGTGTCCAGAGTGAACAGGCCGGACACCGGGTCCCGGGGGAACGTGGACAGGGGGGCACCAGTGGCGGCCTCGGTACAGACAGCATACCGCTCGTGACCAGGGAACGTAGTGGTGACGCCAAGGTCCTGGAGGCAGCCGACACCAACTAGGTTCATGGAGAACGAGGGGATATGCAGACCTGTGAGAGTGTCTGAAGGAACCGCCGGACAGGGAAGGGTGGTAGAACTGCGGGCGACTACCGGACCGCTGGAGGGGTCAGCAAGAGAAACGGCAGCAGGAACAGGAAGCGGCGTTAGGGTGGTGGAGTCGCGGAAGAAACACCGAGAAGCGCCAGAGTCCAGGGTGAAGGAAAGCGAAGCACAGGCAGCTGGCGACGGAACAACGGCGGAAGCACCAAGACTACACAAAGCAGAGGATCCTACGCCTGACGCAGTAGGGGAGGCTACGCTAGGCACACCTACACTAGGCAACAGTGAGTAATAAGCTGGAAGCACACTAGAGTCATCAGCATACATCACATGCAGAGCAGAAACAATGGCATCTATGTCCATGTCAAAGATCGGAATCTTACGACTAAGCAAACTGTGCCAGTCCGGGAGGTCTGGCGACGGGCGGAAGCGCTGACGAAAGAGGTCGTCCAGGCGACGAAAACAGCGGGGAGTGGAGTGACCGATCTTACCGCAAACGAAGCCGCGGCGAGGACCGGTCTGGATCTGGTACTGACAACGCCCGCCGCCAGAGCCACCACTCGGCACACCACCACGCGCCCGGCCACCGCCAGCGCCGGGCCACCCGGGCGGGAGGACACTCGTCTGCCGTGTCTGCGACGGCAACTGCGGCTGCTGCGAAGGCTGCGACTGCGGCGGCTGCTGCGGCTGCTGCAACGGCAGGGGCGGCGGCTCAGCTGGACTGGGCAGGGTCCCCTCGTCCGCTCCAGCACCAGACGACCCGACCCCACCACTACCCCCTCCCGCACCCCCGCCTCCGCCTCCGCAGCGCCCAACCTTTGGGCGGCGGCCCTTCCCCGAACGAAACTGCGCTGAAGCAGCAGTCTCAGCCACTGCGGCAGAGCCGTCGGAGAAGGTACACTGAGCGGGGGCACAACCCTGAAAGATAGGGACCGGCACGACACCGCTCGCCTGGGCGATGGAGCGGTGACGAGTCTCTATCACAGTCAGGGTGTCTACAAAGTCAGTGAGGGTGAGGTCTGCGGGGTGAATGCTAAGGAAGCGGTCGCGGGCGACAGCAAGGCGGTCAGGGAGGCGGGTGGCAAGCAGGTAGAGGGTAGAGGTAATGGGCGGCTGGTGGGCTCTAAGCTGTGCGTCAGTGCAGGCAGCGCGCCAGGTCTCATCTATCGAGCGCAGGTGGGCAGCGAGGTCAGAGACAGTAGGGAAAGATGCAAGGTCAGGAAAGAGCATCGGGAGGATCAGGCGACCCACCGAGGCAGCCGGAGGGGTGGAATAGCGCTGGATGACAGCATCTAAGTATGCCTGAGCAGTGGTGAGGGACCTAAAGCGAGGGTGCTCGGACGGGGGAAGGGCGTTGCTAATGGCAAGCTGGGCGACAGCATCGCGAGAAAGCTAGACAGAGCGCGCACGGGCAGTGGCAGCAGTAGACTCGCGCTCAGTGGGGGTGGAGTCAGCGGGCAGAATAGCAGGGGGGTCTGGGCAGGGGAGCATACCGTCAAGGTGTGCGGAAAGCGGTTCACCATCCTGCCGCTGGCCAGTGAGTTGGCGGCGGAGGTCGGCAAGCCACGCCTCGAACTCCAGAGGCTGGCCTTCAGCGTCGAAGCGAAGCTCCGCCGCCATCAGGAACAGTGCAGTGCGGTGCAGGGCAGTGCTGCAAGGTGGAGTGCGGTGCCGTGCGGTACAGTGCGGTGCCAGGCAGTACAGTGTGGTGCGGGGCGGTGCAGTGCGGGGCAGTACGGTGCAGGGCAGTGCAGGGCGGGGGGGGGGGGGGGGAGAACCGTACCAGTGAGGAGGACCGGGGCCGGGGCAGGGACGAGCGCAGGGGCCGGGCCGGTGCAACGGGGCCGGGCGGGTGCGACGGGGCCGGGCGGGCGCGACGGGGCCGGGCTGGTGCGACGGGGCCGGGCGGGTGCGGCGGGGCCGGGCTGGTGCGACGGGGCCGGGCGGTGCGACGGGGCCGGGCCGGTGC